AACAGGACTTCTGATGAGCGCTTCCGTTTCCTCAGCTGAGCAATCTCTTTGCTAGCTAGGCAAACCCTTCTGAGAGTTTTGGCCAAGCATGCACCACAGGACGCTCTATGACTGACATAGAAACAGGAAGAAGGAAGACTCTGCGGGGTTGATTCGGTCATCTTCCGCGCTCTGTCTCTCTCAATGCAAGATTGTGTGCAGCAAGAGAGCCGTTCTTGCCTGCCAGCTGCTTGCGGAGGGTGTTGAAGGACGGCCCCAATGGTATAGCTCGTAGGTCCTAAGCCGCTTCCGAAGATTGAGGAGACCCGCACGCAACGGCCCCTGCTGCAGTCAGCAACAGGCTCACGTGCCTATAGTGCACCTCACACCTCGATATAAAAATGACGAGAAGATATGGCTCCTTCTGCTCAGAGAATGATATTTCGAGGATTGCAGTAACAAGAAGGGTTGAGAGCATGGAAAGTGCGTAAGACAGATGTTAGAGTCGAACTCGTGCCTACGACAAGACTCCAAAGAGCAGTGCAATTCCGATTGCCCCACTTTACTTTGGGGATTCTATACACCTCGTGTGCATCAAGCAAGTACTGCACACATTCACATTCCAAAACAACTCCAGGGCCAGTCAATTGTCCACACTGCACACAAGCCACTTACTAAAACACCTCTGTCAAGCGGTGCAAAGCCGCGCCTCCAAATCTGCAACCTCCCGATCACTGGGAGGTGTATACACGCCGCCTTGCGGGAGTAGTCACACAATTGTTGTGGCTTGATGGCTGAGCAAAAAGTGAAGCGCTAGAGCCTTTGGTCTTGCTAGGAAAGGATCGTCAGGTGACGGAGTTCCAAGTGCAGCGCTTCGGCGAAGTGAGAGCTATTGAATCGCGAAGTTCCGAACGTTTGGTATTGTCGTAAAGGCCGTCGGTTCCTGCATTTAAACTACATTCTCCTAGCAACCCATAAACAGGTCTCACAGTGTATACAGTCGTACTACAAGTCTGCATTACTATATACGTATTGTAACCGCATTTACTAGACGACATGTCGAAATACAGCGTCCTTGGAAGTGATATTGAATCGATCAAGTTCACACAATGTATATGAAGTGTTCCGAGTCTGGCCTATCCTTGGGTATACTACTTGGCTAGTAGGCTCAGTGGAGCGTACTATGTAAGGCTCAGTGGAGCGTACTACGTAAGTTCGAAATTATCACTCTATACCGTACATCGACGGCTATGTTGAAACTCATGGTAGGGAGTCGTAGTGTAGTTGAGGTACTCG